CTCGAGTTGCAACCAGAGTCACGGAACGGATTAAGTTCGTAACTAGAGGTACCACTATATATGTTCTTTGAGATGCTGCCATAAATTTCTTTCATCCTTGGGATCTTTCCTAACCAAGCTTTTATCACATGAGATTTTATGCAAAATTATTGTTGATGCAAACATATTTATGGACTTCGGTGGCTCTGACTTCATTTGATCAAGATAAAGCTTCTAATTTATTTCTGTCCAGTTCTTAACAATTAGCATCAGCCACCATCAGTGTGAAACAGTGTTTGAAGCAATGAAAAATTAGTGAAACTTCAACACATACAAGCACCATTAAACTCATCATGATATTAACTAAGTATTCCCACTGCATTTTTTCACTGTGATTTTAACAACTGGTGAGATAGTTTCTATCTCCAATTTCTGATTGTGACATACTAAGTTTTCTAAACTGACATGTAGCCTGATGGCATTTGCTAAATTAATTATACTGCCTGTGTCCTATAACCATGCCTTAAATCTAGTACATTTCAAAAACCAGATAGATAATATAAAGCAGGTGTGAATACTGCTTCAAGACATATGATGTACAAACAAATCCAATATTAAACCTGTGAATCACTTCAAAATGATTGCCAAAGCAAACGCACAATTCTTTCTTGCAATTGTGCCTTACATTCCTATTGTACTCAATTAATAATGAGGAAAATAAATTAAGCAACAGCAAAATTAAATTTAAAAAGGGCTAAAGATAAGCTTGGAATTCCCAGGAAATATGGTCCTTCAGTTTTAGATACAAGTTAAGAAAATGATGGTTCCAGTTCATTGGTTTTCCCTCAGGCACGAAGATAAATCTTTCCCATGTTCGTTGGGTTTCAGTAGAGTGAGACAGTTTTTGACAATCTGGTAAATTTATTACAGGCTTGTCACATGCTGAAGAAACAGTCTTAGTAAAAAGGTAAACACACCCACACATACACACAGGGGCACTGAACTCATTTTCCTTCTTTTAATAGAGTTTTAAATTGCAGACGCCTGAATGAGTTTATGTTTTGGGGAAATAAGAAGTTCAAAAAAAGGATGGGAGAGGAAGTCACCTGCTTCATATTTCAAAAGGCTCAGTGCAAAGTGTTTCCTGAACCATGGAACAAAGTTCCAATGCCAAATATTCAGGTGCCTTGAATTTATCAGAGCCAATTAATATACAGCAAGAGCGATCCTTTAAATCAGAGTCCCCCACATGCCCCTTGTGGGTACAGTATGCCAGCAGAGATTTTCCTTGGCAACCACCAGGTTCTGACCTCATCTGATTTTTGATATTAAAGATAATTTTAAAAATGGGAAACTGACATACTGGCAAAACAAACTGCCAGGGACCAACACCATTTTTAATTCCAACAATGCCTCAAGGGTCAAAATAGGCCCATAAGCTCTCTTTGAAAAGTAAAAATGATCAATGGTGTGCTCAGTGCCTTGTT